TTCGAGAGAGAGAGAGAGAGGTGACAGTTGCCTGTGTGGATTAGCCTACCTGCGTCTGTGCATCTCTCCAGTAGGATATTAATCTATTTTATTAATAAAAGTCACGGGGCAGCATTCTCAAGAAGTTTGGATCCCTCAGAATTTTTGTACACGTGCGCAGCGCATTTTTATTTTGGTCACAAACCAAAATAATAGACATGATTTTCTCAGGCCACATGTAAAATCATATGAATTGTTATAAAGATTATTACAATGAATACGTATGGATGGCAGTTGATTACAATATTTCAGTTTATTTCCATCATTAGTAACAGTTTCCCCTGTGGGACAAATAAAGTTAATATTAGTCGTATATTAATAATAGGCTACTTCATTAACTTTGTTATTTACTATCCCTGTTGTATAATAATCGTCATAATCGTAAAACCGTGATTATTCCTCAGACAATAACCATACCAACAAAATCTATAATCGTTGCATCGTTGTGAAAGTGAATCATGAGCGGTGATGCAGCCGGAATTTCAGTGCATCTCTAATTATTGGTGACATTAGAAATGGATATTATATAATAGCTGCTTTTTTGAACATTTTAGCAATTTAAAATTATTAAAAAATGATTTTTTACACGGCACCCCGGTTGGGAAACACTGCTCTAAATAATGCCGCGAGTGGGGCTTGAGGAAGTGACCTGATGCAGCCCCTGAAGCCAGACACAGGAAACAGAAATACTGCAAAATAATAATAATAATAACAAAATAACGTTATAACATTTCGTTTCGTCTTGTTTTGGTCAACGAAAAGGAAGAGACATTTTAGCATAGTTTTTATTTTGTAAACCACATTTCGTCTCGTTTTTATTCGTCAACAATATTACATGACCAGCATTTTCGTCTCGTCTCGTTTTCGTCACGTGATAAAGGTTCGTTGACGACGATATTTAGTCATAATTTTCGTTGACGAAAGCAACACTACAGCTACGTCAACTCAAATTCAGTTGTCAGTTGAACTTGGTCGACATCATGGTGAACGTTACCTCAGCGCAGATGAATTCTATCGTGTCATTGAAAGAAATACCATTCAGTCGTCGTTGCAATAAAGATAAATTGGCAATTAAAGAATTAGGACCACCAAGACCAAATTTAAATATCAAACAAGTATCTACAAAGGGCATAAAGTTGTATAAACGGGGATTTTCGAGGACGAAAATATGAGCGGAAAAAATGAGTGGAAGAAAATCAATTTGAAGGGGTGACCTATCCTCATTAATCATGCAAATATTTGCCCCCCCTGAGAGAATTTAATGCACAATTTATGAATCTGTAAATGTCTGACCAAACAATTAAAATGTTAATTATGCAAGAAAACCTTGTGCTTTGGTCATCCGAACAACTTATTTAGACTTTATTTAATGAGTAGATTATGCACACATTTGAATAAAGCCAAATCATTTTTTTGTAATAAGTAAATACGTTCGTTGACTTGAGACATAACACATAAGACACTCTTTTTCACCACCTGCTGCCGTATTTATGTAATATGAAGAAATGGTCACTGAACGAATCAGTGAACGAATCATTTTGGTGAACGAACTGAAAATGAACGAATTTCTTGAAAGAATCAAAATTTCCATCACTAATCTACAACATAATCTGTGTCTCATTGTGTGAACATGCATACACTGTTACTTAATAGATACTGTGTTAAGTAATATAGTTCAACCTTTTCATTACTGTGCGTGCGTGTGTGTGGCATCATATTCTCCATCATGGAACTGTTCTGATGTCAGCCATACATTTCATGTTGGCTGAGACTCCTGACAGCATAGAAGCCGTGAAGGCCTTTAAGTGCACAATTGAGAAATTTTTTTTAATTCAATTTAAGTGAACAATCTTTTTTTTTTTTTTTTAAATAACCTTTGCTGCATGTGGATTCTCACCTCTTTGTGAGAATCCACATCCACAAGGAAGGAAGTGAGACCAAGTGGCCATATCTTAACAGAAAGAGAAGAGAAAGTGAAACCGAGGATTGAGATCTCAACTCAGTGAAGCAGCCGTAATGACATTGTGTGCAAAAATAAATGGCTTGTTTTGTGAATACTCTACGCCACGAATACTAGTGGTAAAATCCTGGAAAATCGGACTCATATATCGCATATATCAGTACATAGTGCTGGTGTATATTTTATGGTAAGTTGGTTAAGAAACATTCTTAGAAAATACTTCACAGTCAACAATTTACAATGTTGTCTTTATCAAACTTAAATGCTATCTAAACACATGACAAGCACACTATTAATTTCAAACACCTTCAAAGAAATCCAGCATATAATAATGTTTAATTGTGTTGATATGTACAGGTATGTGGCTTGGAGGGGAGGCCACCAGGACACTGACACTGTTGTCAGCTCTGTCACAAGCAAAGTGAAAGGCATAGCTTTAACAAACACCAGCGGGCTTGGTGAACAGGTTTGGGATGTGGCTGACTACATCGTCCCACCTCAGGTAGTCTGGTTATAGATTTTTTGTTTTTTTGTTTTTGCACAACTGAACTCTCTACAGTCCCAACACATCACCTCATGGTTTACAGTGAAGTTACTGGCTGAAGTATATTTTTGAGTCCTCATACACTGTTTTGTTTGCTCTAGTCTACAGTTTAAAATGTCAATACTTTTTTATACTATAGTGAAGTGGTTCTGATTCGGTTTTTTGTGTTATTCAGGGTGTCCGCGGGTCCTTAAAAAGTCTTAATGTCTTCAATAACGTTTTCCTAATATAAGGCCTTAAAAAGTCTTAAAATGTCTTAAATTCGGATTCGATGGGTTTTAATTATTTTTGGTCTCATTACCGCTAAAATATCTTCAGTCTGACGGAGCTAATGACTTTACAATCATTGGACAGACCGAAGCGGTAAATTACTGCGTCATCAGAGAGAACTGCAGTAAGTTAGCAGAATACAGAACACAAGCTCGCGCTGCTGAGGCTCACTCTGTTTGTCTCGAGACTTCAGAACAAATGAGCGTGACCGCACACATAAACTCAGAAGAAACACTCTGAGGTAACAATTCTAAATGTTTAGTTTATTCATAACATGATATAGTTAAGTAACACCATGACAAGTGAGCTATTTTGCTCAATATTCTCACGACGCAAAAACAAACAAACATTCAAAACAGCTACAGAGTGCATGCATTACGTGAAGTCCAGTGCGCTCTGCCTGATCACTGCTTGATTCAGTCTATTAAAATACATTCAGAATGATCACAAACTCAAGACATGGGGGCAGAAAATGTGTATATTTATACCACTTCATATAGTTAATCAAGTTCACACGGAAGAGTGCCTTTTTTCTCCAAAAATTACCATATACAACTGTGACAACAATTACAACAGTTCAATAAACTAGAAGGTTTATTAAGAGACTTACGTTTTAGACACCATATTGCCTGTTTTTGTACTATTTCGCCAACAAAATAATTCCAAACAAAGCTACAGCGCTGTTTTGCGTCTCTGAGCAACATGACAGTGTTTCGTTCCTGAATGAATCAACTGTTTAAATGATTCGGTTCAGTCGCAATGACTCACTTAACAGTGACTTACTGCCACCTGCTGGCGCTTTTAATTTCACATTTAAAGTATCTTTTCATTTTTAAATGATTTCAAATATCAGTATTCAATGTTTTGTTTAATATATCAAAACCAAAACCAAACAAAGTAGTTTCGCTTTCACAACGAAGCACACAGCGTCTTCAGGACATGGCGGCAGCGGCAACAATACTACAGTGAGAATAAAAAGTTACGCCTTCTTTCTTTGCATGAACATTTGGGCGGCGTTATGCAAATCTTCCCACAGTGAGGTAGATATGTGGGGGCGTGTTAGAACGAGCCGTTTTAGGTAGGTGTGGTTAACCTTTATAAAGAGTATCTCTTTTGATTTGACTTTAGTCTTTTCAAGTCTTTTAGTCTTCTTTATGCACCAAGAGTTTGTAACACTCCAAAGAGAAAGGAAAAATTTAAATCGCATCATATGACCCTTTTAAAATATTTACAGTCATAAGGTACCAGCTCAGAGAACGGACTCGGATCCCCCGAAGTAAGCCAAGTTTCAGTGACAAACAAGAAGTCAAGGTCGCAAGAAGTAAAAAAGTCATTAAGGATAAACATATTGTTTACCATTGATCTAGCGCTGATCAGAGCCATCCTGATCTGCAGCGAGTCCACGATCGGCTGGAACACATTCTGCCTTGGCGGAGACGAGGGGAGCAAAACATTGGAGGTTGATCTGGCCGATCTGACACAATCTGTAAAATCCACACGTACGCTGGCTCCAGTGAACGTCGCACAAAGAAGCGATTGAAATGTGCCTCATAAGCGTGTAGGCCCACGCCAGACAGGGATCCCAATTTAGACAACAGAATCCGCTTGAGCTTGACCACGATACCTCCACGTCATCCCCGTCTCCTGTGGCACTTCCTCGCCGGTAAAAGGCACGGTGCGTGGCCCAAATAATCAGGTATAGCCGTCAATGATGGCGGTGGAACAAACAGACTACCACTTTGGACATGATTAAATAGCTGTTTGGTGGTATATTTAATGTCAAGCAGAGTTTGTCTATCATACGTTAAAAGTGACGAAGCATTTCGTAAAATAACAAACATAAAACATTCGAGATGTAATGATTGACCGCGAGCCGGTTGAAAATCGATTCAAATATGTGACGATTCAAATTGGTTGAGATGCTAAACAAATCGCGATACAGTTGGGGGTAGGAGTTTATATGAATGTATCTCTGAGGGGAACTAACTGTCTTTAGAAAAGTTTACGTGGTATTTTCTGTTCATCTTGCCTCCTGAACATTTACTGTATAGTTTGTAATCATGAGAAAATCAAATCATGAAATCAAAATCATGAATCGAATCGAATCATGAGTTGAGTGAATTGTTACATCCCTATAAAACATAGTAAAATAAACAAACGGGAAGACACCCCAGGCAGCGAACGGCAAGCCACACACATCGGTGCCATCGTCCAATCCAATGTAGTATGGATGTGACATGGTCAAGATCATTAAAGAGCAGATCATATGGGTTTTCGAAAAATATCTCTTTTGCAGTTTGTAAGGTAGCTATCCTTCAATGTAAACAGTCTGCAAAGTTGTTAATCAAAAAAGTGCATGATAAATAAAGATATTGTCTCTCAAAAGGAAGAGTCGTCTCAGAATCACCTTAACGAGTTGTCATATTTTCGAATCTTCTGCCCGTTACCGGTATACGTCACTGGGTAACATATTAGCATAATCCCCGCCTGCCCACGAAATACGAACACTCTCTGTGTCGAGAAGATGCTATGTTCCACGATAACACAGCAATACAATTCGAACCTTTTGTTGTGCTCGTTATTTTTCCAAGGACTGCTTCTCTAATCTTGCCTTTTATCTTTGTTGGCTTCTAATCTTCTTTATTTGGACCAACAACCGTCTCCAAATCACAACCTATAAGTATGATTGATACGTTATGTGTACATTTTCAATTGAGTGCTCAAAATATATATATATTTTTTGTGCTAATATGTGATGAATACCTAGTGTAGCTTTAGGTTTCCAGGTAAAGCACAATATTACTGTTTTACTGAAATAGTTCTGATAATTCGCTGTGAACCCACAATTTCCTAATGTGTCAATTAATGTAGACTGTCGTTGTTCTAATTAGCCTGCTTCGTTTAATAATAAATAATGCAGTGTAGCGCACAGACTTTATAATCATTGTGAAAGTGTTGTTTATGTAGTTATAGGGTTAACGCAGAGTAAAAGACCCGGTAGAGAAAGACAGTTAGTCTGGTGCGCATGTGATACAGCTGTTCTGTGTTATAATTAAAGGTTAAGACACAGAGTGTCTTTTGTCTGTCGTTCTTCAGACATTACAGTAGACATATTTTGGTTTTCAAACTGTATTGTTTCATCAGTTAGTTACGTTAGCACTCGGCTAACGTATCCACCATTATTGTTTTGTTAAGTGTTTACAGTTTAGCAGCTAAACTTTAGCTGTGGGCACGATTCGCTTGCATAAGTGTTAAACAAAATGTTTTTATGTCATTATTTTAAGAACTGATTGGAGCACTATAGTATTGTTTTATGTAAAGGTGCATGCTAGGGTTGCCAGGTTGTCACAACAAAACCCGCCCAATTGCTACTCAAAACTAGCCCAATCGTGTTTCGAGGATGGTCCCCCTTTAAAAATCGCGTTCTGGGGTGAAAAATACACGCTTTCAGTCGGGGTTCCCCTGGTAAATTCGCATTCCAGTGCCTAAATATGATGTTATTGGGGTCGCTACAACCCACGACATCAAAAATAACCACAGACTTGGCAACACAGATGTTAGCTCTCGCTAACTTGCTCAAGCGCTCCTCTTTGGTCAGCTGGCCAAGCTGGTTGTGATTGGCACAATCAGAGAAGAGTAGGCTCATGGAAGGGAGGGATTTACAGACATTTCGCTCAGAACTGAATCGAACGAACTGTTTCGAAATCATGGACAAATGACTCTATGTATAAATGTATATTCTGGGAAAATTACAGTGTTTTCTGACCTTAGATGCATTTAAACCTGTTGTAGGGGACTCCAACACAATATTAGGACACTTAAAAAAAACATATGACCTGCTCTTTAAATGTAAATGATCACTTGAAATTGGAGTCAGATTGAACACGGAGCTAGACTAAAATTTAAACAAAATCCTGATCAATTTAGAAGCGCAAGTAAAAGACCGAATACGCATGTAACCTTCGACCAGGCTGCTGGATTCCGCTTTTTGGGCCAGTGGGTGGAGTCTTACACCTACAATTGATTTACCTGTTTTTTTAGTGTTCCGGTCATAACATGTGAAAGTGAAACCATCCATGTTCAATACAGTATCCTCACGCAACCATGTTTTAGTAAAACATAAGCTTGTGTTCTGATCAACACAGAAAGTTAATCCATTTTATTCCGCAATGACCACCCTTTTGACAAAACAAAAGCAGGTAAAGAGAGCCTACTTCCCTGTCTTCTCACCCTGTTCCTGATTCCACCTTTAGTCCCCCTTTTCCGAAGGATTCTTATCCTTAGCAAATGCTTGGGGATTAGATCCAGAAGTGGTGATATAGTTGATATTTTAGATGAGGCTTTTCGAAGAACTATGCTCATCTAGCGTAGGTCAGGTCAGCCAGAGCGTAAATTATAATAACTGAGTTGATGGTTTGTAAATCTGCCAGTGAACTCCAGCACAACCAAACAGGTTGAACCCAGAAAAAAATCCACAGAAACAAAGTCCAGTGTTTCAAAGTCATACACATCATGGTAAACTGCACAACTTGTGCATCGAGCTCTAAGTCCAAAACAGGAACAACAGACATTAAAGGCATGTGCGGTAGTGGTAGCCCAAACCTACTGGTCCATCCAGCTCCGGAACAGCTCACAATCCTCCTGCTGTGCCTGGAGGAGGATCTGGAACTGACGTTCCTGATCATTCG